TTGGTCCCCACAAGGATAGTAAAACAAATGTGTGGTGTGTATGGTGTGGGGGGGGGGGGGGGGGGGGGTTTGAACAACATAAAATATAAGGATTTGTTTTCATAATGATGTTCTGAGAGAGAATATCTGTTCTGTAGCACTCTCATTCACAGTCCATAACATCTACAGAGGATAGAACGATCAGAGAGAGAGAAGAGAGGAGAGGATGAGAGAGAGCTTAGAGGAGAGAGAGAGGGAGAGGGAGGACCGGAGAGAGGATGAGAGAGAGAGAGGGTGAGAGAGAGATGCGAAGAGAGTGAGAGAGAGACGAAGAGAGAGAGAGAGAGAGAGAGATAGAGAAAGAGAGAGAGAGGGAGAGGGAGGGGGGAGGGGGAGGGAGAAGTGGGAGGGAGAAGTGGGGGGTTAACTGAAGTAAGAGAGAGAGAGAGAGAGAGAGAGGGAGAGGGAGAGGGAGAGGGAGGGGGAGGGGGAGGAGGAGGGGGAGGGAGAAGTGGGGGCTTAACTGAAGCGTTTAAAAGCCGTCCCTCCCCCGAGGAGACTCAGACGAACGTGACTGTCTTGGTGAGTCTTGTTACAAACATGTTTTTCTGCCTTAGGTAATGTCGCCATACTGAATATCTCATACCTCACCTTTCATATTTCCCTTTCTTCTTCAAACACACACACACACACACAAGCGCACACACACGCGCACATACACACGCACGCACGCACACACACACAAACACACACACACACACACACACACATCCCCTCCCTGTGAGGATCACAGGTATTCTCAGAGGTTGTCTAGGATGAGTCACACCGTCAAATTACCACGTTTCAAACAGCTTTCAAATTACTTCCCTTCCAGTCGGGTAGCGCCGTGCCACGCTGATAACCGATAACAGTCTTCACTCCTACAAGGAGCTTTGGAGGACTCATCTCACCTTCCGTGTGTTTGTCGCAAACAGCATATCTGTGAGTGTGCATCTGTCTCTGTGTGTGTATGTGTATGTGTCCAAGAGATAGGCCTGCAAGTCAGCATATCAAATCGATTAGCAGGTCTGCACATGGAGGCCAGGGAGACACAACACAGTTCCATTCATAAAATGGAAAAACATTTTCAATACTGGCCTGATAGGCTAGTAGCTTCTACTGCCCTCATAGGCTAGTAGCTTCTACTGCCCTGATAGGCTGATACCTTCTACTGCCCTGATAGGCTGATACCTTCTACTGCCCTGATAGGCTAGTAGCTTCTACTGCCCTGATAGGCTGATACCTTCTACTGCCCTGATAGGCTAGTAGCTTCTACTGCCCTGATAGGCTGATACTTCTACTGCCCTGATAGGCTAGTACTTCTACTGCCCTGATAGGCTGATACCTTCTACTGCCCTGATAGGCTAGTAGCTTCTACTGCCCTGATAGGCTGATACCTTCTACTGCCCTGATAGGCTAGTAGCTTCTACTGCCCTGATAGGCTAGTAGCTTCTACTGCCCTGATAGGCTGATACCTTCTACTGCCCTGATAGGCTAGTAGCTTCTACTGCCCTGATAGGCTAGTAGCTTCTACTGCCCTGATAGGCTAGTAGCTTCTACTGCCCTGATAGGCTGATACCTTCTACTGCCCTGATAGGCTAGTAGCTTCTACTGCCCTGATAGGCTGATACCTTCTACTGCCCTGATAGGCTAGTAGCTTCTACTGCCCTGATAGGCTAGTAGCTTATACTGCCCTGATAGGCTAGTAGCTTCTACTGCCCTGATAGGCTGATACCTTCTACTGCCCTGATAGGCTGATACCTTCTACTGCCCTGATAGGCTAGTAGCTTCTACTGCCCTGATAGGCTGATACCTTCTACTGCCCTGATAGGCTGATACCTTCTACTGCCCTGATAGGCTGATACCTTCTACTGCCCTGATAGGCTGATACCTTCTACTGCCCTGATAGGCTGTACCTTCTACTGCCCTGATAGGCTGATACCTTCTACTGCCCTGATAGGCTAGTAGCTTCTACGCTGATAGGCTGATACCTCCTGACCCTGATGGCTGATACCTTCTACTGCCCTGATAGGCTGATACCTTCTACTGCCCTGATAGGCTAGTAGCTTCTACTTCCCTGATAGGCTGTATACTTCTACTGCCCTGATAGGCTAGTAGCTTCTACTGCCCTGATAGGCTGATACCTTCTACTACACTGATAGGCTGCTACCTTCGACTTCACTGATAGGCTGCTAGCTTATACTTCTTTGATAGGCTGCTAGCTTCTACTACCCTGATAGGCTATTCACTTTTACTGCCCTGATAGGCTAATAGCTTCTACTGCCTAAGGCTGTAGCTCTATCCTATACTAGTTATGCCCTGATAGGCGATAGCTTCATACATGCACCTTGATATGGTGCTGAGATAGTCTACTTCTAATAGCGCTGATAGCTTCACTAGCTTCTACTGCCCTGATATGGCAGATAGCGTCTACTGCCCTGATTGGCTGCTAGATAGTTCTACTCTAATAGGCTAGTAGCTTCAACTGCCTAGATAGGTTGCTAGCTTCTACTGCCTTGAAAAGCTAGTATCTTCTACTGCCCTGATAGGCTAGTAGCTTCTACTGCCCTGAAAAGGTAATACCTTCTACTGCACTGATAGCCTGCTAGATTCTACTGCTCCGATAAGCTGCTAGCTTCTATTGCCCTGATAGGCTGGTAGCTTCTACTGCCCTGATGGGCTGGTAGCTTCTACTACCTTCTACTGCCCTGATAGGCTGTTACCTAGTACTGCACTGATAGGCTACTAACTTTGACTGCTCCGATAGGCTGCTAAATTCTACTCGACTCATAGGATAATAGCTTCTACTAAACTGATAGGCTAGCAGCTTCTACTCCCCTGATAGGCTGCTTGCTTCTAATGCCCTGTTAGGCTAGTAGCTCCTACTGTTTATAGTTTGTTGGTGATGTGGACACCAAGGAACTTGAAGCTCTCAACCTGTTCCACTACAGCCCCGTCGATGAGAATGGGGGCGTGCTCAGTCTTCTTTTTTTTCCTGTAGTCCACAATCATCTCCTTTGTCTTGCTGACGTTGAGGGAGAGGTTGTTATCCTGGCACCACACTGCCAGGTCTCTGACCTCCTCCCTATAGGGATGTTCAACCTGGCGGCGAAAAAAAAACTTTGCAGTACAAGACCATCGCCAAGCAGCTTGGTGAGAAGGTGACAACAGTTGGTGCGATTATTTGCCAATGGAAGAAACACAAAAGAACTGTCAATCTCCCTTGGCCTGGGGCTCCATGCAAGATCTCACCTCGTGGAGTTGCAATGATCATGAGAACGGTGAGGAATCAGCCCAGAAATACACGGGAGGATCTTGTCAATGATCTCAAGGCAGCTGGGACCATAGTCACCAAGAAAACAATTGGTAACACACTACGCCGTGAAGGACTGAAATCCTGCAGCGCCCGCAAGGTCCCCCTGCTCAAGAAAGCACATATACATGCCCGTCTGAAGTTTGCCAATGAACATCAGAATGATTCAGAGGAGAACTAGGTGAAAGTGTTGTGGTCAGATGAGACCAAAATCGAGCTCTTTGGCATCAACTCAACTCACCGTGTTTGGAGGAGGAGGAATGCTGCCTATGACCCCAAGAACACCATCCCCACCGTCAAACATGGAGGTGGAAACATCATGCTTTGGGGGTGTTTTTCTGCTAAGGGGACAGGACAACTTCACCGCATCAAAGGGACGATGGACGGGGCCATGTATCATCAAATCTTGGGTGAGAACCTCCTTCCCTCAGCCAGGGCATTGAAAATGGGTCGTGGATGGGTATTCCAGCATGATAATTACCCAAAACACACGGCCAAGGCAACAAAGGAGTGGCTCAAGAAGAAGCACATTAAGGTCCTGGAGTGGCCTAGCCAGTCTCCAGACCTTAATCCCATAGAACATCTGTGGAGGGAGCTGAAGGTTCGAGTTGCCAAACATCAGCCTCGAAACCTTAATGACTTGGAGAAGATCTGCATAGAGGAGTGGGACAAAATTCCTCCTGAGATGTGTGCAAACCTGGTGGCCATCTACAAGAAATGTCTGACCTCTGTGATTGCCAGCAAGGGTTTTGCCACCAAGTACTAAGTCATGTCTTGCAGAGGGGTCAAATACTTATTTCCCTCACTAAAATGCAAATCAATTTGCATTGTTTGCAGGTAGCTTAGTGGTTAAGAGCATTGTGCCAGTAACCGAAAGGTTGCTGGTTCTAATCCCCAAGCCGACTAGTTGAATATTCTGTCGATGTGCCCTTGAGCAAGGCACTTAACCCTAATTGCTCTGGATAAGAGCGTCTGCTAAAATTAACATTTTTGACATGCGTTTTTCTGGATTTTTTTGTTGTTATTCTGTCTCTCACTGTTCAAATAAACCTACCATTAAAATTATAGACTGATCATTTCTTTGTCAGTGGGCAAACGTACAAAATTAGCAGGGGATCAAATACTTTTTTCCCTCACTGTATATGGGGGATTAGAAATGATGCAGTGATGGAAGCTACAATATATCTGCATAATAACCCCCAAAAAATAAACAAAATAATAATAATAAAATTAATAACGTTTGGGTCTGTGTCAATGGGTTTGTAACGTCTGTTTGAACCAGCGGCGGGCAGGACTGGCTTTGTCTGTCCCTAATTACAAGCTGTGTAGTGGGACTAGCGGAAACGTCACAGAGCTCTAATAATCACTAATGTAAAGCTGGTGAATTATTGGACTGATTGATGTTATAGGCAGGTGAAATGATGTCTCAGCGGGTGACAGTCCTGTTGCTGGGCAGTTTTATTAGCAAGCTAGCACACAGTAGGTAGCAAGAGTGGTTAGTGTGAGTCAATGCTGTGTTTGGACAGTGAATGTTGGGTATATGGTTAGTGTGAGTCAATGCTGTGTTAGGACAGTGAATGTTGGGTATATGGTTAGTGTGAGTCAATGCTGTTATTGGACAGTGAATGTTGGGTATATAGTTAGTGTGAGTCAATGCTGTGCTAGGACAGTGAATGTTGGGTATATGGTTAGTGTGAGTCAATGCTGTGTTAGGACAGTGAATGTTGGGTATATGGTTAGTGTGAGTCAATGCTGTGTTAGGACAGTGAATGTTGGGTATATGGTTAGTGTGAGTCAATGCTGTGCTAGGACAGTGAATGTTGGGTATATGGTTAGTGTGAGTCAATCCTGTGTTAGGACAGTGAGGGCTGGGTATATAGTTAGTGTGAGTCAATGCTGTGTTTGGACAGTGAATGTTGGGTATATAGTTAGTGTGAGTCAATGCTGTGTTAGGACAGTGAATGTTGGGTATATAGTTATTGTGAGTCAATACTGTGTTTGGACAGTGAATGTTGGGTATATGGTTAGTGTGAGTCAATGCTGTGTTAGGACAGTGAGGGTTGGGTATATAGTCAGTGTGAGTCAATGCTGTGTTAGGACAGTGAATGTTGGGTATATGGTTAGTGTGAGTCAATGCTGTGTTTGGACAGTGAGGGCTGGGTATATAGTTAGTGTGAGTCAATGCTGTGTTTGGACAGTGAGGGTTGGGTATATAGTCAGTGTGAGTCAATGCTGTGTTAGGACAGTGAATGTTGGGTATATAGTTAGTGTGAGTCAATGCTGTGTTTGGACAGTGAGGGCTGGGTATATAGTCAGTGTGAGTCAATGCTGTGTTAGGACAGTGAGGGCTGGGTATATAGTCAGTGTGAGTCAATGCTGTGTTTGGACAGTGAATGTTGGGTATATAGTTCGTGTGAGTCAATGCTGTGTTTGGACAGTGAGGGCTGGGTATATGGTTAGTGTGAGTCAATGCTGTGTTTGGACAGTGAGGGTTGGGTATATAGTTAGTGTGAGTCAATGCTGTGTTTGGACAGTGAATGTTGGGTATATGGTTAGTGTGAGTCAATGCTGTGTTTGGACAGTGAGGGTTGGGTATATAGTTAGTGTGAGTCAATACTGTGTTAGGACAGTGAGGGCTGGGTATATAGTCAGTGTGAGTCAATGCTGTGTTTGGACAGTGAATGTTGGGTATATAGTTAGTGTGAGTCAATGCTGTGTTTGGACAGTGAGGGCTGGGTATATGGTTAGTGTGAGTCAGTGCTGTGTTAGGACAGTGAGGGCTGGGTATATAGTTAGTGTGAGTCAATGCTGTGTTAGGACAGTGAGGGCTGGGTATATAGTCAGTGTGAGTCAATGCTGTGTTTGGACAGTGAATGTTGGGTATATAGTTCGTGTGAGTCAATGCTGTGTTTGGACAGTGAGGGCTGGGTATATGGTTAGTGTGAGTCAATGCTGTGTTTGGACAGTGAGGGCTGGGTATATAGTCAGTGTGAGTCAATGCTGTGTTAGGACAGTGATGGCTGGGTATATAGTTAGTGTGAGTCAATGCTGTGTTAGGACAGTGAATGTTGGGTATATAGTTAGTGTGAGTCAATGCTGTGTTTGGACAGTGAATGTTGGGTATATAGTTCGTGTGAGTCAATGCTGTGTTTGGACAGTGAGGGCTGGGTATATGGTTAGTGTGAGTCAATGCTGTGTTTGGACAGTGAGGGTTGGGTATATAGTTAGTGTGAGTCAATGCTGTGTTTGGACAGTGAATGTTGGGTATATGGTTAGTGTGAGTCAATGCTGTGTTTGGACAGTGAGGGCTGGGTATATAGTCAGTGTGAGTCAATGCTGTGTTTGGACAGTGAATGTTGGGTATATAGTTAGTGTGAGTCAATGCTGTGTTTGGACAGTGAGGGCTGGGTATATAGTCAGTGTGAGTCAATGCTGTGTTAGGACAGTGAGGGCTGGGTATATGGTTAGTGTGAGTCAATGCTGTGTTAGGACAGTGAATGTTGGGTATATAGTTAGTGTGAGTCAATGCTGTGTTTGGACAGTGAGGGCTGGGTATATGGTTAGTGTGAGTCAATGCTGTGTTAGGACAGTGATGTTGGGTATATGGTTAGTGTGAGTCAATGCTGTGTTAGGACAGTGAGGGCTGGGTATATAGTTAGTGTGAGTCAATGCTGTGTTTGGACAGTGAGGGCTGGGTATATAGTTAGTGTGAGTCAATGCTGTGTTTGGACAGTGAATGTTGGGTATATGGTTAGTGTGAGTCAATGCTGTGTTTGGACAGTGAATGTTGGGTATATAGTTAGTGTGAGTCAATGCTGTGTTTGGACAGTGAATGTTGGGTATATGGTATAAGGCTACAGAGACTTTCACCTCAGATTTCATAAAGGACAAAGGTCTATTAATCCCAACACTCGATGTGCCAGTGGTTCCCTATTTTATTTAGCTGCTGTCCACTCTGATGTCTATGTAGCTGCTGTCCACTCTGATGTCTATGTAGCTGCTGTCCACTCTGATGTCTATGTAGCTGCTGTCCACTCTGATGTCTATGTAGCTGCTGTCCACTCTGATGTCTATGTAGCTGCTGTCCACTCTGATGTCTATGTAGCTGCTGTGCTTAGTGTTCCTCTCCCCCTCCCTGTAGCCCTCCCCCCTCCCTGTAGTCTACGCTTAGTGGTTCCTTCTCCCTCCTTCCCCCCTCCCTGTAGCCTACCTTAGTGTTCCTCTCCCCCCTCCCTGTAGCCTACCTTAGTGTTCCTCTCCCCCCTCCCTGTAGCCTACCTTAGTGTTCCTCTCCCCCCTCCCTGTAGCCTACCTTAGTGTTCCTCTCCCCCTCCCTGTAGCCTACCTTAGTGTTTTCCCTCTCCCCCTCTCCCCCCTCCCTGTAGCCTACCGTAGTGTTCCTCTCCCCCCCTCCCTGTAGCCTACCTTAGTGTTCCTCTCCCCCCTCCCTGTAGCCTACCTTAGTGTTCCTCTCCCCTCCCTGTAGCCTACCTTAGTGTTCCTCTCCCCCCTCCCTGTAGCCGACCTTAGTGTTCCTCTCCCCCATCCCTGTAGCCTACCTTAGTGTTCCTCTCCCCCCTCCCTGTAGTCTACCTTAGTGTTCCTCTCCCCCCGCCCTGTAGCCTACCTAGTGGTCCTCCCCCCCTCCCTGTAGCCTACCTTAGTGTTCCTCTCCCCCCTCCTTGTAGCCTACCTTAGTGTTCCTCTCCCCCCTCCCTGTAGCCTACCTTAGTGTTCCTCTCCCCCCTTCCACTGTAGCCTACCTTAGTGTTCCTCTCCCACCTCCCTGTAGCCCTACCTTAGTGTTCCTCTCCCCCTCCCTGTAGCCTACCTTAGTGTTCCTATCCCCCCCTCCCTGTAGCCTACCTTAGTGTTCCTCTCCCCCCTCCCTGTAGCCTACCTTAGTGTTCCTCTCCCCTCCCTGTAGCCTACCTTAGTGTTTCCTCTCCCCCCTTCCCTGTAGCCTACCTTAGTATTCCTCTCACCCCTCCCTGTAGCCTACCTTAGTGTTCCTCTCCCCCCTCCCTGTAGCCTACCTTAGTGTTCCTCTCCCCCCTCCCCCCTCCCTGTAGCCTAACCTTAGTGTTCCTCTCCCCCTCCCTGTAGCCTACCTTAGTGTTCCTCTCCCCCCCTCCCTGTAAACTACCTTAGTGTTCCTCTCCCCCCTCCCTGTAGCCTACCTTAGTGTTCCTCTCCCCCCTCCCTGTAGCTTACCTTAGTGTTCCTCTCCCCCCCTCCCTGTAGCCTACCTTAGTGTACCTCTCCCCATCCCTGTAGCCTACCTTAGTGTTCCTCTCCCCACTCCCTGTAGCCTACCTTAGCGTTCCTCTCCCCCCTCCCTGTAGCCTACCTTAGTGTTCCTCTCCCCCCCTCCCTGTAGCCTACCTTAGTGTTCCTCTCCCCCTCCCTGTAGTCTACCTTAGTGTTCCTCTCCCCCCTCCCTGTAGCCTACCTTAGCGTTCCTCTCCCCCCTCCCTGTAGCCTACCTTAGTGTTCCTCTCCCCCCTCCCTGTATTCTACCTTAGTGTTCCTCTCCCCCTCCCTGTAGCCTACCTTAGTGTTCCTCTCCCCCCTCCCTGTAGCCTACCTTAGTGTTCCTCTCCCCCCTCCCTGTATTCTACCTTAGTGTTCCTCTCCCCCTCCCTGTAGCCTACCTTAGTGTTCCTCTCCCCCCTCCCTGTAGCCTACCTTAGTGTTCCTCTCCCCCCTCCCTGTAGCCTACCTTAGTGTACCTTAGTGTTGGTGTAAAAGGCATTGAGCTACCCTTCAAAAATACAGTTTTACTTTTAGTTACAAATGACAAAATCCAAACTACTTTGTGAAAAATTATTATATGTAAATCTGAAATGTCATAGACGACAAAGTGCACTTTGGGGTCATATTTAATTTAGCTTATTAAACACAAAAAAGTATTTGTTTCAAGTGAGAATGAGGCAGTTGTGATGCCGAAACAGAAACTAAATGATTGCCCATGCCGCTACATGGTAAAACAGTAGTGTGTAGTTCCAGTAGTTAGCTACACCGCTACATGGTAAAACAGTAGTGTGTAGTTCCAGTAGTTAGCTACACCGCTACATGGTAAAACAGTAGTGTGTAGTTCCAGTAGTTAGCTACACCGCTACATGGTAAAACAGTAGTGTGTAGTTCCATAGTTAGCTTACACCGCTACATGGTTAAAACAGTAGTGTGTAGTTCCAGTAGTTAGCTACACCGCTACATGTTAAAAACAGTAGTGTGCAGTTCCAGTAGTTAGCTACACCGCTACATGGTAAAACAGTAGTGTGTAGTTCCAGTAGTTAGCTACACCGCTACATGGTTAAAACAGTAGTGTGTAGTTCCAGTAGTTAGCTACACCGCTACATGGTAAAACAGTAGTGTGTAGTTCCAGTAGTTAGCTACACCGCTACATGGCTAAACAGTAGTGTGTAGTTCCAGTAGTTAGCTACACCGCTACATGGTAAAATAGTAGTGTGTAGTTCCAGTAGTTAGCTACACCGCTACATGGTAAAACAGTAGTGTGTAGTTCCAGTAGTTAGCTACACCGCTACATGGTAAAACAGTAGTGTGTAGTTCCAGTAGTTAGCTACACCGCTACATGGTAAAACAGTAGTGTGTAGTTCCAGTAGTTAGCTACAGCGCTACATGGTAAAACAGTAGTGTGTAGTTCCAGTAGTTAGCTACACCGCAGACAAAATGAGAGAAAAAAATTCCAGAAAATCACATTGTAGGATTTTTTATGAATTTATTTGCAAATTATGGTGGAAAATAAGTATTTGGTCAATAACAAAAGTTTCTCAATACTTTGTTATATACCCTTTGTTGGCAATGACACAGGTCAAACATTTTCTGTAAATCTTCACAAGGTTTTCACACACTGTTACAGATTTTGCTGTGAAGAGACAGAATCATTAGATCATTTGTTTTGGTTATGTCCATATGTAGCTTGTTTTTGGTCGCAGGTTCAGGAATGGCTGAAGAATTGTAACATTTACCTGGAACTAACTCTGCAAATAGCACTTCTGGGTGATTTGAAAAGTCATAGTCAATCGATCAATAATATAATAATACTCTTAGCAAAAATGTTTATCTTTAATTTACATTCTGTAGAAACTATGAGAATAGAAAGGTTCAGAATTTTGTGAAACATCACAGCACAGTTGAAAAATATATGGCAAAGTAGAAATCAATCTGGGAGGGGTTGAGGGTAGCTGAAGGATGGGACTAAAAACAAACAAAAGATAACTAATGTAAAATATATTGTCTGTAAAATGTATAAACTGGAAGTAGAAGCCTAAGTGTAGTTGTCCATTAGTTTACTCCAATTAAGGGGAGGGCTAGTTGGGTTGGGGGAAAATATCACAGACAGTGTCACCAGCGAAGCACCCCAACACCATCACACCTCCTCCTCCATGCTTCACAGTGGGAACCACACATGCAGAGATCATCCGTTCACCTACTCTGCGTCTCACAAAGACACGGCGGTTGGAACCAAAAATCTCACATTTGGACTCATCAGACCAAAGGACAGATTTCCACCGGTCCGATGTCCATTGCTTGTGTTTCTTGGCCAAAGCAAGTCTCTTCTTCTTATTGGTGTCCTTTAGTAGTGGTTTTCTGTGTATTTCTAGGCTGATTCCTCACCGTTCTCATGATCATTGCAACTCCACGAGTTATATATATATATATATATATATATATATATATATATATATATATATATATATATACAGTGGGGAGAACAAGTATTTGATACACTGCCGATTTTGCAGGTTTTCCTACTTACAAAGCATGTAGAGGTAATTTTTTATCATAGGTACACTTCAATTGTGAGAGGAATCTAAAACAAAAATCCAGAAAATCACATTGTATGATTTTTAAGTAATTAATTTGCATTTTATTGCATGACATAAGTATTTGATCACCTACCAACAAGTAAGAATTCCGGCTCTCACAGACATGTTAGTTTTTCTTTAAGAAGCCCTCCTGTTCTCCACTCATTACCTGTATTAACTGCACCTGTTTGAACTCGTTACCTGTATAAAAGACACCTGTCCACACACTCAATCAAACAGACTCCAACCTCTCCACAATGGCCAATACCAGAGAGCTGTGTAAGGACATCAGGGATAAAATTGTAGACCTGCACAAGGCTGGGATGGGCTACAGGACAATAGGCAAACAGCTTGGTGAGAAGGCAACAACTGTTGGCGCAATTATTAGAAAATGGAAGAAGTTCAAGATGACGGTCAATCACCCTCGGTCTGGGGCTCCATGCAAGATCTCACCTCGTGGAGTTGCAATGATCATGAGAACGGTGAGGAATCAGCCCAGAAATACACGGGAGGATCTTGTCAATGATCTCAAGGCAGCTGGGACCATAGTCACCAAGAAAACAATTGGTAACACACTACGCCGTGAAGGACTGAAATCCTGCAGCGCCCGCAAGGTCCCCCTGCTCAAGAAAGCACATATACATGTCCGTCTGAAGTTTGCCAATGAACATCAGAATGTTTCAGAGGAGAACTAGGTGAAAGTGTTGTGGTCAGATGAGACCAAAATCGAGCTCTTTGGCATCAACTCAACTCACCGTGTTTGGAGGAGGAGGAATGCTGCCTATGACCCCAAGAACACCATCCCCACCGTCAAACATGGAGGTGGAAACATTATGCTTTGGGGGTGTTTTTCAGCTAAGGGGACAGGACAACTTCACCGCATCAAAGGGACGATGGACGGGGCCATGTATCATCAAATCTTGGGTGAGAACCTCCTTCCCTCAGCCAGGGCATTGAAAATGGGTCGTGGATGGGTATTCCAGCATGACAATTACCCAAAACACACGGCCAAGGCAACAAAGGAGTGGCTCAAGAAGAAGCACATTAAGGTCCTGGAGTGGCCTAGCCAGTCTCCAGACCTTAATCCCATAGAACATCTGTGGAGGGAGCTGAAGGTTCGAGTTGCCAAACATCAGCCTCGAAACCTTAATGACTTGGAGAAGATCTGCAAAGAGGAGTGGGACAAAATTCCTCCTGAGATGTGTGCAAACCTGGTGGCCATCTACAAGAAATGTCTGACCTCTGTGATTGCCAACAAGGGTTTTGCCACCAAGTACTAAGTCATGTCTTGCAGAGGGGTCAAATACTTATTTCCCTCACTAAAATGCAAATCAATTTGCATTGGTTGCAGGTAGCTTAGTGGTTAAGAGCATTGTGCCAGTAACCGAAAGGTTGCTGGTTCTAATCCCCGAGCCGACTAGTTGAAAATTCTGTCGATGTGCCCTTGAGCAAGGCACTTAACCCTAATTGCTCCTGTAAGTCGCTCTGGATAAGAGTGTCTGCTAAAATTAACATTTTTGACATGCGTTTTTCTGGATTTTTTTGTTGTTATTCTGTCTCTCACTGTTCAAATAAACCTACCATTAAAATTATAGACTGATCATTTCTTTGTCAGTGGGCAAACGTACAAAATCAGCAGGGGATCAAATACTTTTTTCCCTCACTGTATATGGGGGATTGGAAATGATGCAGTGATGGAAGCTACAATATATCTGCATAATAACCCCCAAAAAATAAACAAAATAATAATAATAATAATAATAATAATGTGTGGGTCTGTGTCAGTGGGTTTGTAACAGCTTTTTGAACCAGCGGCGGGCAGGACTGGCTTTGTCTGTCCCTAATTACAAGCTGTGTAGTGGGACTAGCGGAAACGTCACAGAGCTCTAATAATCACTAATGTAAAGCTGGTGAATTATTGGACTGATTGATGTTATAGGCAGGGGAAATTATGTCTCAGCGGGTGACAGTCCTGTTGCTGGGCAGTTTTATAAGCAAGCTAGCACACAGTAGGTAGCAAGAGTGGTTAGTGTGAGTCAATGCTGTGTTTGGACAGTGAATGTTGGGTATATGGTTAGTGTGAGTCAATGCTGTGTTTGGACAGTGAGGGCTGAGTATATGGTTAGTGTGAGTCAATGCTGTGTTAGGGCAGTGAATGTTGGGTATATGGTTAGTGTGAGTCAATGCTGTGTTAGGACAGTGAGGGCTGAGTATATGGTTAGTGTGAGTCAATGCTGTGTTAGGGCAGTGAATGTTGGGTATATGGTTAGTGTGAGTCAATGCTGTGTTGGACAGTGAATGTTGGGTATATGGTTAGTGTGAGTCAATGCTGTGTTTGGACAGTGAATGTTGGGTATATGGTTAGTGTGAGTCAATGCTGTGTTGGACAGTGAATGTTGGGTATATGGTTAGTGTGAGTCAATGCTGTGTTTGGACA